GGCACCTTCCTCGGGGAACCGCTATGCAGCGCCTGCCCAGGGTCGCGGAATTCTATCCTGCCAGGAGTATTGATCCTAGTCGTCTTGGGGGCTTATCGTGCCAACTGCCTTTAAGGAATCTGGAAGGTGACAGACAGCCTTACTGATGGTATTCAAAAGACAAACTGAAGGCTCTTTCCGCGCTGAAGGAGAATCCCAAGATGAAATGGGTATGTGGCAAGGCAATCGTATTTAGCCGCGGGTATGAGCGTCGCGTGCGACGTCGCGCAAGCAAATGGATGTTTCTACGTCGTGCATGGTGGAGCACGACCTATGCATAACCAGAAACAATTATAAATGACCACGATGTCGAAGACGTAGATGAAATATGGTGCTTCGAAGTCCCAATCCGAGGCTAATGCAAACTGTGAAAAGGCGCGCGCGTCCATCGCCGCGTGCGCGACGGAGCGGCAGATTACGACTGTCTTGACCGTCTCCCAAATGAACCCGAGTTCTGAGGACATCTCAGCAAATTCTATTACATAACTGCCATGAGTCAGTAAATAGGAGGAAAACGAGCGAGAGGTGGGTTTTCTTTTCCTTCCCCTTTTCTGAAAGGGTGACGCGGAGAAATCGCTATATCGATAATGTAGTCAATTGGAGGTGCCTATTCCTCTGGCAACGGCAAAATTTTGCCTTAATTTGGTGAATAAAAGGGTGTAGTAGGCTGTGGAAGAAGAGCGGTACCAAAACCCTTCTTCCGAGAAGCGTCCCACGACACCGTCATTCCACCCCTCCCAGGGACCTTGATTGGGTGCCTTCGAGAGCCATCCAGTTTATCCCTGTTCAACAAGGCGTAGGGAGGGGAAAAAACTCACCTTAACACAGCGCTGTCCATTACTCCGATAGGTGTTTTGAGCTGATCAACAAGGAAATGACTGCCGTCTCCTTTCATTGCCACCAACACACCCGTCACTTTTGTCTTTTCATGCATGGCTATGGTTACCTAAATTGTCACTCTTCAAAAGAGAGCTGCTCTAGGTCTCGATTCAAACTTTCACCATCACTAAATTAACTTCTCACGCAGAGCAATGCTAGAGTAGAAGTCCAACTTCAGTTGCCCACCACAGTTCGGTGGCCCTAGAAAATTGTTTCACGAGAATGTTAAGAATAATAGCGCTCTTTTAACTTCTGGACTTTCAGCACAAAATCACGGTGCTGTCGCACCCATTCCGCTCGCAACTGTTTCCAATGTTTACGATAGAAAAAAATAAACATCTCGTTCCAAATCACCATTTCAAAACTTTCCGCCGCAGCTGTCGCGAAGAGTAAACTTAGTCATAGCTGGCGCCGCGGCTATGGCTATTTTGAAACAATTAGAGTTCAGGGGAATACCGTATGGCGCTGTTCTGCAGAAGCGGGGTGGGGAGGGGGGGGGCATTTTGCACTTTCGCAGCTTCACTAGTTCCGGTTTACAAGTCTCACTCTGGTGAAACCTGTGAACTCTTGTGTAGCTGGAGCAAGCTCGTCCAGCCACCATGATGAAACCTGTCAACTCTCGCAAGGCTCTCTCGATGGCTCGACACGTCAATGGGAAGTGGCAAAAGTGCAAGATGCTCCCCCACCCCCGTCGCGAAGTGCGCCGCCTTGCATTATTCAAAAATTTGAGACACAACCCTTTACGACTGATATTGTCACAGTCACGCAGCGCGGTGACAAGAGTTTTAAAATGAACCCACCCTAAGCGTTTTCTACAACTGGCTGTTTTTTTACCTGAACCGGCCAATACTGGCAGGAAACGCAACCGCCGGTGGGCTCATTCCGCGCCTCTTAGTACCACCCCACCGGATTAAGATGATATCAACTATACCCTTTACTGCCCCCACTTTCCGAAATTCGTAATCTCGATCTGACTAGGAAAATAATAAGAGTAGCTAGACCCCCTCGACACGAATGTGAAATCCGTTTGGGGCAGATATGGCAGGCACCGGCGCCCGTGTCCTCTCCAGCGATGGCGATGGCACGAGTGCTTGTCTGCACATAACGAATATTACTATATTTTCGTATTTAACAGGTGAAACTACTACTGAAGGTGTATTTCGGTGCAAAGTTATAATTAAGGACAAATTTGGATGAAAATCTATCCTGAATACGGGGGAGGATGTAGCGAGTGAAAGTTGCCAAATTCGATTTTGGGAAGTAAACAGGGTTTGTCAATAAATTAACAATAATCCGTGAACTAACAGCAATGTTGTGACTAGTTCTCCCACTCACTTATCGGAATGGATCGTCAGGGACGGGGATTAGTGATGGATTCTAACCGGTGCGCACTGTGAAGGGGACTTGCGCTGCCACTACTAAATGCAGTGACCCCTATTCTCCGGCCAACTCTCGGTCAAGTGAATTAAACGAATCATGCTACAGGTACAGACCGGGTACAGCGTTGGTGTAGGTACGAACTCCCCCCGTCCCCACCCACCAATTTCCCACATTTCAAAGTTCTTCACCCAAAGAATGTAGTCGGCGTGAAGCGGGAAAATTTCTAAGACCCACTTTTCCCGGAATTTCTCGGGGATCTCTTTAGCTTTACCCAAAAATCTTGCTGTCGAGCAGACGAGGGGGGTATATAGTACACATGAAACAGGAAAAATTACGCGAAAAGTCAACCGGGAAAAATTTTTCCCAACAAAGAAAATTCTCTTGAAGGCACATACAATCCCCCCCCTCTTTCAACGACCAAATACGAGCCCCTCTCCAGCGCAGAAGTATGACCTCCTAATTTTCACGCAACGATGCTGTACTCTGGGTACAGAGCTTCGATGAGGGACTTCACTCAGTGTTTCACTCCACGTCTCGGGGTTTTAGTTGTCAACCTATAGTGTCGAAGAGTCGTCAAGAAATTCCATGATACGTCAAGATCCCTGGCACCTCGAAAAACATGTCAACGTCCCTGAACTTTGATTGCTGATGATTGATTTTCGATTCAAGCGTATTATTGCGCTGCTGCCACCAAGAGACCACCGACAGGAAGAACTATCAATGCTTCCGTTCATCCCTCAGCCAGTAAAGGCAACCGGTTCTACTTTTTTGGAGCGACATAGCCAGGGCATTTCCAAGTAGAAATCACTAGTCCTTAGCCACTTTTCAGAAATCTTCATGACTAGCTCTGGAAGAAGAAACGCAGTGATATACACTCCTTGCAGAACCAATCCCTCACATTACTCCTTTTAAAGCTGGTTTATTTCAGAATTTGTTTTGAGATAAACGCGAACACAAAGGTTATCAATAGATATGGTGAACTTCGAGGTTTTACAACTGAATCGCAAAATTATTATAGTGCACACATTCCTACGAAAGGTTCTTTCAAAGAAGGAGCTAGGTGCCCTTCTTCTCCCTTCATTTCGAGATAAGCAATTTTTTCCGACAAGGAGGTCAGACGGCGAACTATTCCTTATCGAACGGTTGTTTCAACGAGATTTTTAATACGATCACGCATGGTTTTCGCTGACTGATAGTGATAAGATACCGATCGCCCCATTCTTATTCCTACAGCAGAAGTGCTGTGATAGTAAGTGACCACGCTTACCTCAAAAATTCCCGAATTAGGCTACTGTCCACAGCATTCAAGCATCCCATCCCTCCAAGATTGCTTAGCAGATAGCAGACTCATCTGCTATCAGCTAAGCAATCTTGGAGGGACAACACTTCTACGTCGACTCGTACACCCCCCCCCCCCCCCCCCCACATGTCGATTACGCATTCAAAGACAAACTGTGCACTCGCCTCCGTAAATTACAGGGGTCCTTTTTCGTGAGTGACGGGGGAAAGGGATCCGCAGTTGCAATAACGTGCCACTCCTTTGGTCAAAAGTGCATAGGAACGGGGCTGGAGGGTAATAACGTGGATGGTGTCTTCTCCCTACTCCGCCCCGTCTCAGGATACTTGTCAACCGCGAAACCTCCCTCCTCCTTCTCTTTCCCCCCTCCTTCCTTCTTTTCCTTCCCTCCTTCTTCTTTCCCTCTTCCTTCCCCTTATCCCTTCATCTGCTGGGCCAGTAGATACGATAAGAAAATACCTCTGGGACTCCGCCCACATTATCGCAAGGCCAGCCAAGTGCCTAGCCACAACCAATCGCGCTACCTGTCTGCGCTCTCTGAAGAAAATACCTCTGGGACTTTTTGGTTGTTCTTTATCGCCGGAGGCGTGTTTCGCCGCGGAATCCCGGTGTCAATGCAAGGTGCCGCATGAGAGTAGCGCGGGCGGAGTATGGAGACGGCATTCGGGTACCACTGCCGTATAGCA